AAACCCTAAAACCCTAATAAAACCCTAACCCAAACCCTAAACCCTAAAACCCTAAAACCCTAGAAAAAACCCTAATAATTAGAATAATTATAATAATTTATTAGATTAAATAATTAGCCAGTGGATATGAAATATAATAAAATAAAAAATACTAATCTTATTATAACTAATCTTATCAGCTAAAAATTTGCTGTATAAATTAATAATTATTTTATATATTAATATCCAGATAGCAGTGTATATCTGGTAAAAATAGAAATATTACTAGATTTAAAGATCTGTTATAAGAATTTTATATTAAATATTTTCTTTTTATTTTAATATAATTCTGAATATATAATATATAATTTTTCATATTTCTGGGTTGAGGGTGTTGTCTTATATATTTTATAATATATTTTAATTTTTAATCTCTGATTAGATATTAATCTTTAAACTATATATATAAATAATTTATATGAAATTGTTTTTAACTGTTTAATACTCTAAATTAAAATTATTTTTTTTATTTTCTACTATCATGAGATCCATAATATTAATAGATAATTTTAAAATAAGAATAATAATTAATTAATATCCAGGCTAACTCTCATAGCAGGAAGAATAAAAATAAATATAAAATCTTCTTAATAAATAAAAAGAAAGAGAAAAAAAAAGAAAAAAGAAGAAATATTAAATTATTATTATATTAAAGAAAAACAGAAATAATACTATATATTTAGTTAAATAGGCTGGCTGACAGAATCAAGTTTAGATAATCTATAATTATTATAAATATAATCTAATAAGAATTATTAATATTTTTATTTAAATATCCTGAATTATCAGGATTATACTGGCTGACTTACTTTTTTAGTTTAGTTAAAGAATCTGATATACCTGAATTATGTAAATTATCTTAAGAAAATAATATAATAAATTTATATATATTATCAGGATTATACTGGCTGACTTGTTTCTTTAATTTAATTAAAGAATTTAATATATTTAAATTATATAAATTATTTTGGGAGGGTAATACAGCAGACTTATATATATTATTAAAATTATACTAGCTGATTTA